CATATTTAAGATACGCAAAACTTTCTCTTCTAATGTATTACACTATTCTACTAACACTTAACAGGTGATATTCCGAACTTTCTCTTCTAATGTATTATAACTTTTTTTGAAAAAACTATTAAATGTCGCGGATTCTCTTTTACACATCTTACGTTTATTCAAAGGATTCACGAAACGTGTCAACAAATGTAAATTTTAAACTTTCTATTTTCCAATTAAACATTTTGCCTTTCATTTAACCTTTATCATGTTTTTAAAACATATCCCTGGTAATATTTCTGATTCTTTTTTCCCTAAAAATAAATACAGACATATACGGATTTTTTAAAGATCTGCTGACTTTGAATTAAACATTACAATTCAGAAATAATAAATTTTCATGACATAAAATCTACTTGAACTAATATATGGACATCTCTAGCCAGTTTAGTTCAAATACATACGAAAAAACACGAAATTTCTTATTATTGTCTACCACAGTCTAATACGTACCAACAGCATTTCATTTCGTATTATTTTACACTACAGACATTTACATGAATATATTCAGAACACTCCTTTTTATTGAGCAGGAGGATTCATATATATTACAAACACAGATTGACTCTGAAATACGCTAATTAAAGTAAGAGTTCTTACAGCTCTTTGAGTACGTCTGATATTTAATTTTTTCGCAGATATGAGAAACATTTTTACATAAATACCATGCAAAACATATAATATTGACATGAACTCCATATCATGGCCCAACATCGGTAACTTAAATGAACTTTTAATACATTTTACTATGAGTTAATCTAAAAAAGAAAAATTCCAATGCAAGTATTCAAACAGAAATGCTTCACAAATTTCAGATAAAATAGGAACGGAATGAACCTAATTGATAATAAAGGAAAAGCATGCAAAGGACTATGAAAAGATGCATTCTTGGAGGACATTCTAAGGCCCTTATTTAGCACATGGGCTGCATTTTTCCTTTTCAGATTAAGCAAACATTCAAGAGAATACCTATATATCTAGATATATTATTTACACTAGTTGGTAATGTAATTTATTAGAACAACTGCAGACGTATAGGAGAGGTATGCAATATCCAGGAAAAAACTTCCTCCCAAGCCAAAGAGCAATAGTGCAATATAGCATGTAAGAAGAGAAAAAAATGTCAGATTCCAACAAAATTAGTATCTAAGTATGGAAACATGAACAAGAAATTAATATTTTTTGTGAAATTGTCCCGAATGGGATATGTCATGAGTAAGAACCTTAACCAATTTCAGGAATAGGGCATGAAAAATAATGAAGTATTTTTAATCTTATTTTTGTCTATAATGCATTTACTTATACTAAAATATTCTGTTTGAAGACTGTATTCTACACTTAGAACGAATTTGATAAATCAGAGTGATATCGTTTTCTGAAGATTCAAGTGCAGAAATAGTACAACTCAAAAGCAAAAAGGTTAGAATGATAATGAAATACACCGTAACCAATAAAAAAATGTTTTTCACCCTAAAAAATTAGAAACTTTTTTCAACCTAAAAAAATCTAAATGAATTTTTTTCGACTTTTCAAAATCAAAATGTAAATTTTCCTCCATACGTTTTGAACTTAACATGGGTTTCCCATATACAAAATAAAAGTGGAGATTTTTCTCCCTAAAAAAATTAAAGTGAAACTTCTTCGACTTAAAAAAAATTTAAACGAAATTTTTCAACTCAAAGTGTAATTTTTCTAACTCCATTTTGAAATTAACATGGGTTTTCTTACAGACGAAATAACAGTGGAGATTTTTCGTCTTAAAATATTAAAGTGAAACTTTTTCCAACTCAAAAAAAGCAAATTGTTTCTTTTGATCCCTACCGGAAACTACAGTGAACATTTTTCGCCTTAAAATAACAAACACATTCAGAAATTATCATTAAGATATTCCACTCGGATATATTTTTCTGCTTTTCATGCCATTACATTTCCAATGAAATTGGATTCGCTGCCAGATAGTTAAATGTTTATTATTTTTTTTCGCATCCGAATGCATTTCGTGTCTCACATATGCTCATTAGATATGATATATACCAAAATTACAACCAAGTTAAGTGAATACTTCCTGAAATACTGTACATTTCATTCCGGAAAAGTATCTTCATTTCGAATCGTCTAATGTTTCTTTTTCTGCATTCCAAGTAAATTTTGCGCATAAAGTTTTCAGTTTCGGTGAAGGTTATTTGCGGATGACTGTGATTTTATCGTGTTTTCATAAAACTTTTGAACACTTTAAATATTACCAATTTTTACGTTACGACCATTGCAAATCATTGAATTTTCAAATATTTTCGTATTTCTCTTTTACAACGCTTGTAAAGATTTGGGGAAATTTTTTTATTAAATAGTTATATTCTTTGATTTAATAAAGTTTTACACGTTTGGAAGATTTAACTTCAATAACACTACCACGCTGAAGCAGAAAATTAAGAAAAGAAATGGAATTTTTATCTTAGTAAACTATGGGAATAGATTAATTTTATCTGACACTGATGTATTCGAAATGTAAATAGTAATAGAGACTTTTAACATAGCTCATACAGAATATTTTTTCGAAGTCACCGAGAATCACTGACTTGTACTGTCATAGATTTTTCTCATGAAGTTTATTTCTTTCTTAAAAGAAGTTTATATACCAATTTCATTAGAAACATGTCTAAGAAAATATCTGACATACATAAAAAAGCATCAGCGCCTTGATTTAAATTACTAGGAAGCTAAGAATCATTGTTTCGTAAATATGTTTCTCTTTGACTCAAAGGTTTCTTCTTTAGCATATTCTAAATGAACAATTAACCGTACACAAGTAATACACTCAAAAGCCAAAACCTGTCAATAACGAGTTGGGCCACCTTTGGCGCGCAACACAGCTTCAACCCGCCTTGGCATGGATGTCACAAGTCCTTGATAGATGACCGGAGACAAATTGTACCAGATGTAGTAGCAACGGTCACGCAAATCCGAGATATTGCGAATTGGTGGTCTTTGATCTCTGAGCTGCCGTCAAATGACATACCAAATATGCTCTATCGGATTGAGATCCGGTGAGTTAGGCGGTCAGGACATTAACTGGAAATCAGCATCATGTTCCTGGAACCACTGCAACACAATTGTAGCTTTGTGACACGGGCCGTTGTCCTGTTGGAACATTCCATTTCCAGCTGGAAAAAAACAGAGGGCCATGTAAGGGTGGTGCAACTGGTCCGCAATGATGTTCAGATACCCTGTAGCATTCATGCTCTGCTCTACCACAACCACGGGTCCCAGAGACGCCCAAGAGAACGTCCCCCAGAGCATAATACCGCCACCACCGCCTGTGTATGACCTACTGTGCATTGAGGGAGCAACTGTTCGCCTGGAAGACGGCGTATCCTGACACGGCCATCGGCGTGATGAATGACAAACCGTGATTCATCTGACCAGGCAACTCTCTCCCACTGATCCATGGACCAGTCGCGATGTTCCCGGGTCCAGCGCAGGCGCAGTTGGCGATGACGCTTGGTCAGCAAAGGCACACGAGTGGGACGTTTGCTGCGTAGCCCCATATCCAACAGTGTCCGCATTCGGCTGTCAGCTGAGCCACTGTCTGGCTCCGGTTTTGCTTCACCATGCGAGACAGTCTCCGACGACCTTTTTCTTTGATAGCGTGTGGACGTCCAACACCATGTCGTCTACTGCTGGTTTCACCGTCATTCATCCACTTTTCATACGTACTAACAACTGTAGATCGCGAACAACCCACGAGTCGTGCAGTTTCGGAAATACTTGTTCCGAGCCTTCGAGCCATTACAATCTGCCCTCTATCAAAGTCGCTTAGATCCGCAGCCTTTCCCATCATAAGTAAGAATGATTCTTTCTCCAGCAGCAGTTAAATACCACTTCTGATCACGTGCCTTCCACGTCATCCAGGCGCGTTCATCGCAAAATGTAGGGCTGGTCATAATGTTTTGGCTCTTGAGTGTATTGTTTGATACCAGGTTTAATTATTTACTATACTTGGCGTAGTAAGGGGGACAGGGGGGCACTTCCCCCGGCGCAGCCAAGGGGCCAACTGATGTTAAATTAGAATTAATTCCACCCTGCAGCATAATCCAAATCTTCAGTTGTCCCTGGGCGCTGAAAACCCTAGCTACGACTCTGACATATCAAGTGACTATGAGAAGAATGTCATGTTTTCTCCTAAATGCTCATTTTTCAAGTAAAATTTTGCTAACGCACACACGTGTTTATTGCACATTTTGATAAAATCTCAAAGTGAATCTGAAATGAATGTTTCATTACCAAATTTGTACTTTCCGACTTCATTCGACTGAAACGAAAACATTCGTAACTTATTAATTGCGAAGAAAAATTTGTAGATGTTATATATACCTTTTGATTAATTTTCATACCACTTGATTATCTTTGAAAATTTGTTTCCTAGTCCAGTGCTAATATATTGCTAATTTTCGCTTTTTCAATGCATTTCGTATATGACAAAAACTCAGTTTAGAACCTTTCCTTTATTAACACCTTGTATTGCATTGCTGAACCGGAGCCATGCTTTTATTACATATCATGCGAATATTATAAAAAAGGCATATTTTCCCCTTGTGTTAGCGCAATTTTAACTAGCAATTTACTATTAGAGAGACTTCTTTAGTAAAATCTCAAAGGTTAAACTGAACGTTTCATTACTTATTTTGAAGATTCTGGACATATCATACTTAAACGTAAATATAATTTAAATCCTAGCATATCATTGCATGTTAAGAAACGAAGATACTACTTATAAACAGAAACATCAAAATATATTTAGCATATTTTGATTATTATTAAGTCCTCTTTTTCACAGCTGGAAAGAAAATAACATGACATTGTACCATTTTTCAACATATTTATCAAATTAAATAAAAAAAAAGGATCAATATTTACACGTGAAAACCAATCTCAGGAGTCCTTTTAGAAAATCGGTTCGTGCATCCCATTTGAACACGTATTATACAAGAAATCATTCTACGGACCTTGATTTATGTTATCATTGTTTGTTTCTGTTATGTGGCAACAATTGATTGTTGTCAATTTAAAGCGGATGGTTAATAATTTCTAGTAATTTCTGGGAGCGATATAAAAAAGCATGGCTTTGAAAAATATCTGGACGTTGATTAGGAATGTGAAATGCCAACATTTTCCCGTATTAGCTACTTATAATTGTGTGCGGCTACTTAGCATATCTTCCCTTCGTTTTTTGAAAGAGAGTAGGTCATTTAGTTATTATGCTTTTATTTAAAAAACATATCAAACTTACATTAAAAGAGGAAATATCGAATATCAAATCGTAAATTATACAAGTTCCTGAAAATTTTAGTTTAGTTTATGGTTTATAACTATACCATCGTTTCGTAAAAAGCGATAAAATTTATCTGTAGAGTTTTTAATCTAATCTATGGAGGCTGAAATTCTACAACGCAGAATGAGTAATATCCAGTAGTATAATATTGCATCAAAAAAATATGCATTTATTCTAATGTGGTTTATGAGCTATCAATGAATTAGATTTAATTCAATAAGCTTAAGAAAAACTGTGTATAATTTAATATTCCGTACAAGGAAGTCGTGGTGTACATATCAGATTTTTTACTTAAGTTTATTACCTTGAATAGCCTGAATATATGCTTTTAAATTAGCCATTTACACAGTTTATTTGCATAGATCTTGTTCTAAATATTGAAACATAGACTTCAAATTTATTTTTAATGCATTATTTTTTCCTCTATTTTAAGTGTTGCTTATTGTAAAATTAATATCATCAAAATATTCCTTGTAATAAAATAATTTATTCAAAATATGTTAATTAATACTCGCTAATAATTCGGACACAACATAATTTTTTTTTAAATGCTTTAGTCGACAATGTTTCTGGTTGTGATTTCATGCTTTAGTTGAAAATACATCACAAGAATTATGTTCTGCATTTGGAAATTTTTACTTGTTTAGCAAAGTATATGAACTGAACAAGTCCATATCTGAAGTAAACATGGCAAGATGCTACAAATTAACAACCAGTTATGTAACAAATTTAATAATTCATCAGTTAAAATTTACTCTATGGTACCCCTTGGCGAATCATATCTTTGACGCCAATTTCAAGATGATGACGATCCTTCCAGCCGCTACACAAAACCAAAGCAAGAAGTTAAAGACTTATGCAAACTTGGTGTCCATGTAGACATCAACCTATTTTAACTTAAAAAAAAAAAATCGGAGAATTGCACGAACTAGGGATTGCATACTGCCTTAACTTTGTCCATGTGCACATCAATCTATTTTCACTTAAACAAAATCAGGAAGCTAAAACAAAATTAAAACTATCATGTTAACCAGAAAAAATTCGCTGCTGTCTTATCACACAAGATAAACAAATAACCAAAAATACATATTTCTTAACATAAAAACATTAAACCACAAATCTTTTACAAAACATTAACACACAGAGAAGAATAAATAAATGAAACATTGATTTTTTAACATACTTTTTTTTTTATGTTCATATGATCACGCTTTCCACCACCATCTCCTCCATCTTCCACATAAACAATTCAATTAAATTTTTTATCTCTTTGGCTCATCTACTGTTAATCAACATTCATCCTCTTACCCAACTCAGACATACTCAAGTGATGGTATCCACAGACACGCACAATATAAATAATATTGATAAATCCAAGACCATACCACGTACATCCAAGCAAACGCAGCAACTGAAAACCAAACCCAGGTCCATACGAAGGAGTTACTATTATAAAAAATAGCCAAAATCTAAATTTATCACAACACCGTTGGTGATATTCACAGAAATAACCCCTTTCTAATGACAAAAACTAAAAAAAAAAACCCACAATTTTCCCCAAGGCTAGCTTCGCTAACACTTGGCGATTTTTTTCAGACAAAAACCAAGGGGTACTGTACATTGAAGATCAACCAATTCATGTTTTTAAAGATGACAAAAAAATATTTAAAATGTTAACAAATTCCTTCATGTAAAGCATTTAACAATCTTTGATGGAAATTGCATGGAACTATTGAGAAGTATGGACTGCATTCCAAGCTAATACCAAAAACCGCAGATTTATTTTATGAAAAAATCAAACAAGATTTTTTAAAAAAAATTAGAACTGCACAACATTTAGTAGATTTAGAAAAACATTTTGCAGTAAAAGTCAACCCTGAATCTTTCAGAAGAGTCGTTTAGGACACATGGATACCATGGCGATCAGCAAGAAGGAAATTCTTAGTCTTCAATGAGAAAACAAAATAATGTCTGGCATTCACAGAATCTGTGGTGAGCAGTAAGCAATAAGAAAGTGGCACATTCACAGTTTTATCATGTAAAAATATCATATTTGGATAAAAATCGAAATTTAATATATTTGATGAATTAATATGTGATCAAATCTGAATTAAGAATTGTATTCGAAAACATATTGCCTAATGTTACACCTAGGGATGGAGGCTTTATAGTTTGGGGATGTTTTGCTGCCTTTATAATAAGAAATTTGGTATTTATTGGAAATAATGTGGATTAGGATATTCTTAATGAAAACCTGAAAAACTTGGAATGAAAAATGCACTTATGTTCTAACAGGATAACGATCGAAAACACAAAACCCTAAATATTCATTTATAGTTATTATACATAACTGTCTTGAAATTAACAAAACTTTTCCATATTCTTCAGACTTAAATCCTATGGAACATGCATGGAGCGAGTTGGTGTTAGAATAAGGAAATATGATACTTCTTTGAAAGTTCATCTAAAAACAGATCTTATGTAGAATTATAATCAGATTAAAAAAAAAAAGCTTACTTTCATCCATAACCACACTAGAGCTGAAAGCATGGTTGTGGCCAAAGTCATTATTACCATGTCAATGTATTGTCATTGACTAGGATGTGATTCCCTAGTCAGCAGGTGTATGAAACACTTTGTGCTTGCTGATTTTCTTTCACAGTATCATCAAATATTTTTACAAAAAAGAAATTTAACCCTCTGAGCACTACAGGTTTGGCCTTGAAATTTTAAATTTCCATAAAAGGTCTTGAATATATATATATATATATATATTTTCCATTAGAAAATGACTCTCTCACTTTGTACCTTGATTTTTTTTCTTCCAATACACATCTGAGCCGAAATCAGATGCATTAAAAGCTGGCAGAAATTTTTATGTGTAATGAATAAGAAATCTATCATTCTATATGGAATTTTATGTCCATAATGCCGAAAGGGTTAATTTGAATATTGCTGAGAATTTTAGTCTTAATATTCTTTGCTTATTTTGGGGAGAAGTCAGGTCTAATTTATTTTTAGGTCCTATGTAATTATGGAAAGTAAAGCTTAAAATTAATCCTAGACTGAAGACCTTTGAAAAGTCATTTTGTGCTGTAAATGCAAGTGATATTTGTTTGTAATAACTAATGGAAATTTAAACCTTTTTTATTCAGTATTTATTACATAGCATTACATTTGGATACTGTAATTTTGATTTATCTTCTTTGATGTGCTTATTGTATATATTTTTATTTATAAATATTTTTTTCTTTTGTAGTTCATAGGACAGAAACATCTTAAATTTAATTAAAGCTTAAAATTAATCCTAGACTGAAGACCTTTGAAAAGTCATTTTGTGCTGTAAATGCAAGTGATATTTGTTTGTAATAACTAAGGGAAATTTAAACCTTTTTTATTCAGTATTTATTACATAGCATTATATTTGGATACTGTAATTTTGATTTATCTTCTTTGATGTGCTTATTGTATATATTTTTATTTATAAATATTTTTTTCTTTTGTAGTTCATAGGACAGAAACATCTAATCAAATTGTAATAGAAGGAGTTAAAGTGAAATCTGATCGTGAGGGAAAAGTTATAAACTTAGCAAATCGAAGTGGTTGTCCTTTGTGTCGTGTTGGATTAAAGAACTTAAAACATACAGTAAGTGAAATTTGTTTAGAGAAGAAATGTCAGAAAGTATTCATATTTTAGTGTTAACTTATTCATATTGGGCAATTTTACCCTATCATACTTTATTGTGGCAGAATTTAAACTTTATTCATGAACAAAAATTGGGAAGCACTTCCGCAAAGAATCCAGTAAATATAAATGCTGCCAAAAATTGCGATAACACTTCAAAGCTGAATTCATTTGTCGGAGGTAGTAACCTAGTTCTGCAAGCGTTTAGAGATTGTGTTCTTGTCTGTCTCAGGTGCTGTTTTGCCACTGTCTAGCGGTGTGTCACTGCCAGAGGGTGAATGATAATTGATAGCATGGCTGTTTAGAATAGTATGGCTGTGTTCTTATGCAATTCTTTAAGATTTAAAACACACAGAACCATAGGGTGCCCAACTCCTAAAACATTATGATTAATGTGGGCCGTAATAATATGTGTTTTAGACAATTAAGTAAAGTTTTTATTACTGTTATTTTTATCTAAAATAATGGGAATTAAATCAGTTTTCATGCTTAAAATTTTGATATATTTTTAATGCATTTTAACAATTACTTTTCAGAGGATGCTAGGTGTTAGACACAATCGATGATTAGAATAGAATAAAAAGTATTATTGGTTTTCTGAGATGACAAAATAGTTTTATGTATTCCCAGGGTCAGCTAAGTTAGTAAACCACAGCTTTTTGTGATTAATCAAGGTTTGAATGACTCTTGAAAGATAACGAAATGTATAATGTTCATCTAAATTTATTTACAATGCTACTGTAAATGATATGAATATTATTGAAAATTCTCAGCATTGTCAAATTTATTATGAAAAAGGCAGTTTCAAAATCAAATGATTGGTTAAACTTTGGATTATGGTAACTTGGCGAAAATTTGGCGACCAACCCTTCTACAGCAACCGGCTAGTTTTTGTTTGGACGCCATTTGTATTTGTTTTCATAAAGGCATTTTTTTTAACTCAACATTTTTTCCCAAGAATCTGCTAGCTGAATTACGCTTATGCTAGAACTTTTATGGAACAAAAGTGCTTAATCATGACGAAGATTAGGTGCGAAATTGGGACAAAGTGCAGAATCGCCCACTGCTTGCCGCGTTTTTAAGAATTGCGCATACACGGTATCATCCATGTACACGTCGACCTATTTTCACTTAAAAAAACATCCCAGAATTGCACAAAAATGGCATTGTGCACACTCTTGACTTTATCCATGTACACTCCTAAGGTCCTAGCTAGTAACCTTTATCGCCTTACCAAAATGTTGCCAAACTACTTGTTACCATATTCCAAAGATTAGACAATTGATTTATGCTATCAGCTATGGTAAAAAACTGCTTTTGAAAATGGGTCGTCTACGTCTAGTGGCATAGCTAGGGTGGGGCAAGGGGGGACATCTGTCCTCGGGCGCAGCATCCAAGGGGCGGCAAATTGATGCTACGAAATTTTTTAATGAAATAATTTTCATTCTTCGCACACAGAAAGGGGCGCAAATTCTTCATTTGTCCCTGGGCGCTGGAAACTCTAGCTACGCCCCTGCCTACATCAGTTGTCTCTGTTAGCTCAGATAAACCCCAGTGGGAACAGCCCTTAATATGTAAAGTAGCACTAATTATTAGATACAATTTTGAGAATATCGACAAGCAAAGCACTTAACATTGAAAAAGACATTTTGACATGTACCAAAAATATTAGTATCCAGTATGAATTACAGAGAATATATGTAATGAAGACTACCATGACAAAAATAACATGTATAAACAAAAAACAAAAAAAAAAAAAAAAAAATATTAAGTATTCTGTACCTCGACACTTGAAAAAGTAATCCTGCTATGCAAAACATGGTTATTTTCTGATTACATGATATTCCAAGCATTTTCTTTAGATTTATTCTACATGTGGTTAAGACCATTGAATGTTGGTAGTTTGATCTGTGTGCATATCATGGTTAAAGGGCTGGCTACATGGTTGCTTTTGTGGTTTTCCTCATATGTAATCCAAATGCAAGCCAGTTTCCCGTTACGTTTTTAGAAGCAAGATTTTAATTGTTTTTATCTGCCTTTTTCATATGTATGGCTGCAGAGAATGTCATGTTTAAATTCATCAGGCCTGATGAAAAAAAGTCTAGAATACTAGAACTGCGTTTTTTTTCCCACGTCTGTTATCAGAAGAAATAATTTCAATGATATTGTGGAACTGGAATTATCCTAGGATACATGTTAATTTGTCAATAGCATTGGTTATTTCCTTAATGAAAATGAAAATATTCCTTTTTCCATTCTCACTTTGGATATTCTAAATTGCACTAATGTATATAGCACTGAATTATGTCCATTTTAAGGTAAATTTGCAGAAGATAATTTCTTATAAGTTTCCAAAAAGGTTGATCTTTACATTATGGTACCCCCTGGGGTGCAACTGGCTGGATCCTATATCCTGACAGAGTACTCTGGGGGAAAAGCATTTTGAGCTTGGCGGTTCCAGAACCTGAGGGAAGTCGTCTATACGGCCGGACCGAAGGGGATTGCGTAAGTCCCAGAACCGGAGGATCTGGTAGCGCAGAAAGACTGCGTATTCCGGGTAATGACCTTCGGTGACGGGCAGCCGCGTAGTACTGGCGGGGCGCATCCACGACCGGTCAGATCGCCAAATTGACATAGGTCTGTCGAGGTCCTCCCTCTGGGGTGGGGTCTCCGAGACCCGTGGTGTGTAAGCATCCGGTGGCCCGGTTCAGCCCCGGAGGATTGAGAGAGAGTTCTTATAAAAGTCTGCCAGGGATTTGAGGCACCCCTGTGTAGCAAAAGTCTAGTTTAATCTCTTTAAGGGGAACGTGCAGGCATGTCCGGCCCTCCCGCCTGATACGGAGGTTGATTTCGGGTGTCATCCCTAGTTGCATTCAGTTAGCAGGAGGGGAGCATAAAATTGATTGATTTACATTATGGTAACTTGGCGATTTTTTGGCGAAAATTTGGCGACCAACTCTCCTACAGCAACCCTCTATTTTTTTTCCCCGCCGCCATTTTGTCTTCACGAAGTAAAGACATGTTTCTTTTCTTTTTATCTCCTGAACACTTCTTCCAACAATCTACTAGCCGAATTACACTTATGCTAGAAATTTTATCAAACAAAACTGCTTAATCATGACAAATATTCACTGCAAAATTAGGAAAAACTGCACAATACCATCCTCCTTACGCATTTTTCAAAATAACACATACACATAAACCATGTACACGCCGACTTATTTTTACTTAAAAAAACATCCCAGAATTACACAAAAATGGCATTGCGCACACTCTTCACTATATCCATGTACACTGCTTTTTTCTCATAAATTAAAAAAATTTCACGAAAATACATGACAATTTTCTCAATCTTTAAACCCGGTAAAAAGAACATATATGAAATTACATGATCGTGAAAAAGTATTTACCCTTTACAAATATCAACATTTCCACATATAAAATAAATAGAATATCCAAAAATTTTTATCTCTAAATCATCTATTACATTATACGCGTCACCAACGAATTCATACCGCAAGCATTACAAATACTTAATATCAAATATTTAAATTATTTCCATGCACGTTTATTTCAACTTAAACGTATACCAAATTCCTACAAACATAAAATTCACAAAATAACTATCATTTCATTAAAATATAATTAAATTCAAAAACACTACTTAAAATATAAATGAGCACATACATTAAATTAATAAAATTACCTTACAATCCTAATTACTTTAAACTAAATCATTGCTAATCACAATTTTCCCAATAATACCAAATTCCTTTCTACCTTACATTTACAACAATGCATAAAAATAATATCCTCAAATAATTAAAAATACTAACTTACCTAATCTTCTTCAGAATCTTGATTACGTGGCGGATACACTTTTCTTCCTTCTGTTTCAGAATCTTTAAAATCATACTTATCTTTCAAAGCAAGATACCAGGTAAAATAAATAACATAATAAAACATCTTTATTTCTCTCTCACACAACCTTAAAAAACATTTATTACTATCCTTTTCAATACCACTAAATACCCATTTCGAATTCACTTTAGTTACGGCCATGGGATCCAAAAATTCACAAACACTATTTCACACAACACAGAATAAAACCAAATACAAAATTGCCAGATTTTTTCCCGATTAAAGAACAGTAATTCGTCCATTAATATCACATGACATATCCCATGATCTCTCATTTCCCCACACAAAATAATGCGTAATCGGAACTGAGTACTGCTCACATTATTACCTAAGTCCCAGGTAATAATGTGAGCAGTACTCAGTAACCTTTATCGCCTCCAAAATGTCGACAAACTATCAGTTACCATATTGTAAAGATCAACCTCCAAAAATCTTTTCGGAGATAGACTTTCTTTTTTCCAAAGTGTGTCAATACAAATCATTTGAACTGATTATAGCATGACATCTAGTCATCACTTTGGCATTCACGCTTGTTTCATTATTTTATAGTGACAATTATTTTGCTATTTATTTCTTAAGTGTTATTGAAAATATTTGTTATATATACATTTATAAAACTTTGAATTTAACAGAGATATGAAAGTGAAGCAGCAATTATGTTTCCGTTTCTCAAAATTGTTTATATAAGGAATAATAATAACTTCAACAGAGATTTCAGCAAAGAAATTATTCCATTGTTATTATTGCTAGTACTAGTTATATAAAGATCACTAAAACTAGAACTTTTATCATGATTTTGGGCAGTTCCTTAATTTAGCAGCTGTATTATGGAATTGTGAATTTGTTAGAAAATTATTATTCATCTGAGCCAATATTTTTGGTTGTGTTAGCATCAAACTGAATATTTCTGCATATCGATAAAAGACATCACTTTAATTATGATGTATAAAAGTTTAATCTTCATTAAAAGACTTGTTTAGGACTGTTGCAAAGTTGAACAGTTACATTGTTTATATAAGTTAAACTGAGTTTGTTGTTTC